AGCCTGACCTTACCTGAGCCGAGAGGACAACAACAACAACAACAACGACCACGGCAGCACCACGAAGATTGCAATCCTAATGGCCATCATCATCATCATCATCACTATTCTCGTCATGATCGGCATCCTGCTCATCGTCATCATCATGATCACCATCATCTTCTTGATCTTCATCATCTTCATCACTCATCGCACCGGCAGCAGAGGCGTCACCAACATCACAGTCATTCACACCGTCACAAGCTGCTGGAAAACAAGACCACAACATCAACTTCACCAGACAGCAAGAAGTCTCACACGACAAGAACAGCTGTAATATGCTTCAATGAATATCGACAGGGCTGCCAGCAAGAAGAATGCCAAACACAATCACAGTCACAGTCATGCAATGTGACCATCAATCTCACAGGAATGACCATGTCTCTGCTGCAATGAGTGCTTCGTCTCACGGCCGTTATTGCTTGAAGACAGTGTGGTCGCTCGCGTCATCTGAGCATGTGACTTGGCAGCAGGCTGCATCATCGCCCCAGTGAGCACGCACCTCAGAAGCTCACATCTCCGACAGGTGGCACTGCTGCTTCCACGCGACTCTACTCATCACTCATAGCATCCCTACAGTGTAACTACAGATACTGCGCATAATGCCAGCAACACTTGGAAGCCTAAGAATGAGAATTGCGGGACACGGGGGGATACAACCAATACTACCTGTCGACTCATAAACAATGACAACAGTCTTCAGTAAGGTCAGTCAAATTGTCTTGGCCGGCCCACAGGAATCGCGAACAACGTCAAGTCTTCTCGCTGAGCGGCCGACCGCTCTCAGGGTTTTCCGTGTTTTCAGGACTTGAGCCTCCTACTTGCGGCCACATACAGCTCTGAGTTGAGACAAGGATGGCACAAGATGGAGTTACACAGGATAAGCCATGCAAGCTCGGCAAACGAAGCAAGCACAGCAGGAGACTACGACGTTCCACGCCCAACCTGCTTCATCATATTCACCTGGCTGAATGCCTGCGAAACGTTTGACGAGGCGGAGGCGATCCTCACATGTCCTGACCCAACTTTGCCAGAGGCTGCGGCTTCGAAAACGCCTTCGAGCTTTGGCAGGAGTGTCTGAGCCAAAATAGCCATGGACCAGTGCCGGGAAAGTCGCTCGATGTAGAGATCGCGACCGGATCTGGCGAGCGAGCCGGCGAGCCGCGGAGCCGCCGAGCGAGCGGGGATTTTCGGGACTTTTCCGGTCGTGCGCAGACGTTGCCGCGAAGTGAAACGAGGCTCCACGAAACTCGTAAGAGCTCTCTGAAAAGAAATGGCATGAAGAGTAGAGACCAAGGATCGCGTGAGACTCACAGAAGTTCATGCCATGGAGGTCTGGCCCGTCTTGGACACGCGCACACCTTGCCAGGCTGGGGGGAACTCAGCCCGATTCTTGCCCAGGCTATGAAAATAGTTCGGCTCCGATGGGGGCTTAGGGTTTAGGGGTTTTTTCCCAACCGAGACGCACTTGAGGGTTGGCAGCTTCTGGGCTCAGGGACTTGCGAAGCCAGAGTTTTGGGTTCGAGACTTCCGCTGGGTGAAGCGGGCTGGAACCTGAATCCTTGAGTGACATGAGAGTGTTGGGGGCTTAAAGGTCTCGGGTTGAGAACCCTCAACCCCAAGCCCTCACCTCCAGGGGCTTGGGCTTCGTAGCTTCGGGAGTTTAGGGTCTTTGGCAGCGCTCCCTGCTCAGAAACAAGCACGTGTCAGGAGTACTACAGACGCCGAAATATTCATTAAATAGTGACATGTTTTCGATTGCTCTGGTCTGAACGCCAAACCCGAGAACGAGGTACACCGTCTCCTGCTTGAACCCGGAGCCTAACCTGGTTTTGGGGATGCAGGTTGTCTGGGATTTTGTACGCGAGCCTGTATCTTCCGAACGGGGGCCAACTCACACGTCAGGAACCGCAAGTTACGTGGACCAAAGGCCCCCAAAGGCCCCAAACTCCAAGCACAGCCTGGCCTTGCTCTGCGCCTGATGGTTTCAAGGAGAATAACTTCCTGCCAACGCACATCTGCCCCACTCAACCGCTTATCTTCACTCAACAGGCATTCGGCCTGTAGTCACGGAACTCGATGGGCCCTTTCTTCTTCCTGTTTTTGATTGGATGAAGGCGTGGCTGTTGTATGCATTGGACATGGCTCTTCGACAGCATCAGAGCCCCCCGCTTGTGAGTTGTGGTTTGCTCTTCGACCATCCTAGCGGCTCGATCTTGCACTGCATTGCAATTTGCGGCAGAATATGGTCTTTGGGGCATCCTTGTCTCGGCGTCTTGGCATGCAGTCAGTCCTCTTAACTGCCGCAGAGAGGATGGTCTCAGTGACTCCAAGTTCCCCGGACAGGATCATAGTGTCGCGGACCTGCTACAGTCAGCTCGCAACTTCAACAGTGGGCCAACACATGCTGCGGCATGTTCTGCCTTCTCCATGTCCATGTGTCCCTCAGCATCACAAATGTAGTGGAACGAGTGTTCCAACGGATCAAAGTCAGGAAGGTCCTCCAAAAGTCAGACATCATCTACTGCAGGCACCTGGAAACTCCAATATGATGGTCTAAGACCGTCCTCCGCCATCATGTCCAGAAAATCGTCGACACTCACCGGCGTGTCATTCGTCGCGTTCTCCTGCGCAGGGTAAGCCAACCAGTGCCTGGTCTCTCTCGTACATTCTATACCTTATGACGAGTGCCTGCCTTGCCCATCACCCACTCGACCTCCCCAAAAGAGATGTTGGGGTCAATGCTCCTGCTTGGTCGAAGCAGTCCACACGGCACTGCAAGCTCTCTGGCAAAGGTCTTCCTCAAAGCGTTGAGAAGAGTTTTCATGGGAACCGTCTGGGTCTCATCTGCCTGCCGTAGAATTTGCAGTGAGTCACAAAGCTACTTCTACAGGCTCCAAATCACTCACTAACCACTACTCAAACAGTAGAGGTGCCCACTCCCGCCGGCCAGCCTCGATCCCAAGCATATGCCGCTTTTTGAAGGTTGCAACCTGAGCGTTGAGAACGGGCCGAGAGCACCAAAGACATCAGAGGGGACTCTTTCATGCCTCTTAAACGTGCAGCCGTTGGCCGCAGCCTGAGCATGACACATACGTCCACGCCGTCCGCACCGCATCCTGACAGGCTCAAAGAGTTCTCAAAGGCAGCCGAACTGTCGCCCACGGCCACAGAGTTTGCCTTGGAAATGGCGCCGGAGCTTGCTCCAGGTGATTCCACTACTCGATGCGACTCCCTTCCAGGCGCCTCGCTCCTTCCGTGGCAACACCACGTACCATCGCACCCTTCCTCTTAGACTCTTCTTCACGACTCATTAAAGCTTTTATTTCCAGCCTGACGGTCGAGAAAATGCCGTCACGAATCGACTGCGAGCGTTCCTGCAGCGGTCTGTGGCAAAGGCCATGAGGCTCTTAGCGGCAGCGCGCAGGTCTCCGCAAAACAGCGCTACGTGATAAGCGCATGAGTCCCAATCTTTTTGGCGACCGGCAATTGGCGGCGCAAACGAGGACTTCACTCTGGCCGCACTCGCCACGATAGACTTACAAAAAGAAATCCCATCAACCTCGACTGTGCGATGCGCTCTTTCTCGCGACTAGCGAGACTCGCGCGGTAATGGTTCATGTGGTTTTACTGGTACAATAGCCGTGTATTCGTGTCAAATGAGCAACCTTCAAAATTACTCGGCGATGCAGTTTCGTCTGCTATAATGAGCCATGGTATCACTGTGTACCGGCGAACTCTCGTGGACAGACTGCCTTCAGCATGCCTTGTACAGATCCGGCTCTCACATGTACATCATGCCAGACTCGCGGCCCTGAGCAGAAAAGTCATGCACCGGGAAAAGTGGCTCGAAAGAAGGATCATGCTTCGGGCCTTGTTCTTGACGATCTGCTCCGTCATCATGGACCTGTAGCTGGCACTGTGGCAGAGCACTAAGGTTGGAGTCCTCAGCCCGGAACTTCCATCCATCCTTGTAGGTTTCTGCCACCTGCTCCTGTCAACCGCTAGTAGTAGAAGTCATCTTTGATTGCTAGTGCTTCTTGCTATTACTAGTACTGTGACTGCGATTGTTATGGTTATAATTCTCATAGACTGCTCTGAAACCTTCCAATCGGGAGACTGGCCTTGAGGTGGACGATGGCCTGTGCAAGAGTCCGAGTCTGAGCGTGTCTGTTCAGCGTTACTGGGTTTAGGATTTAGGGTTTCTAGGGTTTAGGGTTTAGGGTATGATTTGCTTTGCTTTCTCGGATCCGCACCTTCGCTGGGTCCAGGCCCTTCGGGCAGCAGTTCGTGCAGTTCATGATGCCTTCGAAATGGAGATGCTTCAGCACGATCGTGCAGGTTCACGACGGGCTTGTCAGAAGATGAACAAAGGGCCCACGAAGTGTGCAAAATTATTGCAACGAGTTGCCATGGCAACGGTAAAGCTTCATGGTGTCATTGACCCATGCAAGCCGCTCCTGCAAATGCCCAGGCAGAATCAAAAGCTCTTCGTCTCCTTTCTGCACCGAAGGCTTTGAAAGTGCTGTCGGTGCAGTCCTCGGTGAACTGGTCTCTCGAGTCTGCGATCCAGCGGTAGGCCTTGAAGCTTGTTATAAACAGCACTGTTCCATTAACAAGCCACCATGTAAGCGGCAGATAGCGGCAGCCTGCATCAGGACTGCGGGCCCGAGGTAGTACTCCGGGTTCCACCTGGCGCTGCATGCCAGCCGCCACAAGCACTAGCAGTTGCTCTGCGACAGGCCCGGTGGGCCAGTAGGAGGGGCAGGAGGTCATGCAGCAGGCACACAAGATGCACTCGTACATGCCATCCAACTTCGCCCGGTCCTGCACAACGTAGCACGACCAGTCATGTCTATCATGTGTTCGACGTGCTACTGCATAGCTGCCACCGGCTTCCACCCGATTATCGCTCAGTGCTGTTCTTGCCACCGCATCACCCAACTGTGCTAGCACTTTATCATCTCGTTGCATTCGCACTGCGCTCTCATACACCAAACCTTATCCTGGCTTGCCTGGTGATTCGTCATTCCCTGGATTCATCATGCATTGCTCTTACCGGTGCAGTCGGAGCCGGGGCAGGGGCAGCAGTAGTAGCAGCAGCAGCCGCTATAGCAGCTGGAGTAGTAGTTGTTGTTGCTGTTGAAGTTGTAGTTGTAGTTGTAGTTGTAGTAGTAGTAGTAGTAGTAGTAGTAGTAGCAGCAGTAGCACTAGCGGTAGCGGTAGCGGTAGCGGT